TTTAATTCATCTCGATCCAAATGTTGCCACACAAAAATAAAACACATTGCGAACTGGGAAGATTTTGAGCCTACTTTATTTCTGTTTTATCTTCAACGTCTATCATAGTCCATCACCAGATTCACCAAGATTCATCACCAACACCACACCACCACTATCGGCCATTTTTCTAACTCTAATTAATCTTCAAATTAATATAATCAAACATGCTTTTATTTTGTTTAGTTTTGGAAACCAATTTTTTAAAAATTGACTTACAAAAATAGTTTTTTAAAAAAATTAAAAATGCAAACAAAACCAAACAAGCCTTTATTCTATTGGGAGTTAGTTTTCCTCTCCTACAGTAAAAGAAATACTATGAATCTGAACCAGTAAATTAGATTTGATAATTTTTAAAAAATATATTTAATTTGAAACGGTTTACATTTGCAATAAAGAGAAACCCACCACCGTATCCTTATTAGTGCGGCTATAAACTGTTAAAAAGAGAGATTTAGGGCCACACCCATCGTTGAAATGTCATTTGAGTGGGACTCCCAAAACAGATTAGAGTCGAATCACAATAGAAACCATTTATCTCCAAGGCACTCACCACCGACCTCAGTGTCATCAAAGAGAACAGATTTTACATTTTGTGAATTCAGGAAGTGAAGTTGTAGCCTGTCTAGCACTTGTATACCCCAAAAGAAGGACAACACACTTGCATGATAAATAGCATACCCGAACGATTTGCTTCTTGGAGTCTAATGACATCCATAAAATTCAAAAAGCCCTTCCAGACATGAATTGAACAGATTATCATTATCGTCACACATTGCTGTAACTGTTAAATATGCCTTTTGCTTCTTCCAGATAAGAGTTGTTTGAGAAACTTGTCACACTGGCTAAGCTGTGATTGTATATATGAACATGATAACAACCGAACAAAGAATAATCATAACCATCACACAACAGAAGCTACTGAAATCACAGAAGCTCTCGAGCTAGCCGCACCGGTTTTTCCTTTAGAAAGGCCACGTCACCATTAGATGCTGTTAGCAGATGGTGATTTGGCTCCTCCTCTTCACTTTCCATTGATGCAGACAACCCAGATTCTGATCCTTCGTCATCTGCAATATAAAGGCAAGATTCCCTTGTTCTAAGGCCCAACATTACACAACCAGTTTGAATCGATTTAGAACCAGTTTGAATCGTTTACATTTTTACATGAATGAATGCATAAAGTACATCCTCGGAGAAATAAATACTCTGCAAAAAACAAATTGATTTCAGGAGACCATGTAATTAGTAGCTGTTCTAATAAATAGAAATGAAATATGGGCCAACCCGAAAAATTCCATGTTTAAAATATGTGAGTTGAGTTGGTTCAGCCCATGTTTATATGGACTAGAAAATTCCAACTCAACCCAACCCTTGAAAGTTGCAGATTAAATGGGCTAACCTGTCAACCATTTGTTTTACAATTTATTTTTTTTCATGAATTTTAAAAAAATACAACTAAATGATGAGTTTCATTTGATATTCCTTCATAATTCATTCAATATACACGACATATTAATCCATAATATTTGTATAAAATATATGAATTGATCCGACTAAGTCATGCCCAATATGATTTATCCCCCAATTTTTCTCCTTTTTTAAATTTTTAAAAATAATATGGGTTAGATGGGATAACCCTAACACATATGGTTCCTGAATCATAAGGTCCGAGCCAAAAAAATTCGTTTTTATTTGGGCTAATTTTTTTCCCAACCCAACCCGACTCATATGATCAGTTATTCAAGCCAACCCACATAACTCAATGCATAATCCCGACTCAACTAACAAACAAACAAAAAATTATTTTTCAAGGAGCACCAAAAATAAACCTTGAGATTTTTTCAAAAATCAATATACATCTAGTTCAACTATTAACTTGTCAAATGTGCACCAGAGTGTCTTGTATCATTCACAGGGAAAGAAATAAGACCTGTTCCAACTTTGTTTTTTTGTATTTTCACATCGCAAGTGTGCATATAATTTCACATTTTTTTCTAATTAATCCTCATTAAGTTGTGCAAAAATATTGAAAAAGTGCTAGAGATATCACGAGCCATGTGCTATTCCATAATAATGTTTTCTTTATCAGACTGTCAATAAAGCCAGATCCAGGAGAATATTTGCATGACGAGGTTCTCTGCATATCTTACCAGTATATGTTAGGCGTTCAGGAAGATGTCTAACTGCAGCAACCTGAAGGCTTTCTGGCAAAAGACAATTGCAGAAAGAACCTGAAAGTATAGACTACATATGATCACATGCCAAAAACAGTAGCATCTAAAATCACCAGATTCACAGAAAGTCAAAGACACAGCCAAACATGAGCAAGTATGCGGTGATAGGAGCAGAATCTGATTCGAAATGTAAACCAAGGCGCAATGATAGGCAACACATGCATGCCTATTGCAAATGCACAATACGTTGCAGTATCCATCCAAACAGATGAAAGGTCAGCATGCACAGTCCTCACCTACTCGAGCCATTCGATTTACCCATGCAGGGATAGGCTTTCCAGTTAGCCGTTGACAGACTTCATCAGTAAAATGGTTGCAATTCTTGGCAATCAGATGGTAAGTATCTCCATGATAATCAGAAGAAAGGCGCTCAATGAAGGAACGAAACTCTGTGCCAGACAGGTCAGTGCTGCCTAATACAACTGATCGTCTAAAGATAAAGCCAGGGCAGCTTCTAGGTTCAACCTCAAACACTCCACTTGACGGATACTCATGTGCTCCAAAGCCATACTCCATACCATGCACTGCCCATGAAAACATCAAGCTATATGTTTATTAAAATTGGTAATTATAAGTTAAAAAAAAAAAAAAAAAACAGTGCATCTATGCTCCTTGTCACTAATTTGTTCAAGGGACATAGTTCTACTCCTTTTATTAAGATAGCTTTTCTCACTATCATTCGCTCTGCTGTTAGATATAGAAACTTGGATATTCCAAAATTGGTACACTAAAATATAAAGGAAAACTTGAATAGAAACAAAATGTTTAGTGATGAGGTGAGTAAGATACTGGCCAAAACGGAATGTTCCCTTTACTACTTATACTGTAAATGGTCATCTAAGTTTCACTTGCTGATGATATATTGGAATAGACACCAGGTTACTACAATGCTTTATGCATCATTTGGGCTTTTGGTCCAAATCTTTCTTTGACACAGTTTGAAGTCAATGTGAGTAGATGGGATTCTCATTTACGGACTAATATTCTGACAAAAAACCGATGGAGAGATCAAAATTTTAAGGTTCATGAAGTCAATTTAACTTGAATGCTTGCATTAATGTACTGCTAAGTTACTATAGTAATCACAAAGTTATCACTGAATAATATTAAGAATATAAGTAAGTAATCTCAAGATTCGGCAAATCAACAATCATATCATCAAAATCTCTTTCTACCTAGAAGACCATCAAGTGCAATATAAAGATACTGAAAAGATCAGGAGAAAGTTCAATAAAGCAAACAGAGCGAAGTCACAGTCATGCAATTGCTAATTGGAAAACAGAGCCACCATGACTTCTTCCTTGAACAGATAACTCGTATATGTAAATCAGATTCTTTTTTTAAAAAAAAAAAAGTGGATATCAATTTCGACAAACAAAAGCTTAGATCCATTGGCAAAACTCAAAAGAAACAAAGTTCATTCAAATATAAAATCACAAATTTAAAACAATAGAAAGCTATCTCCTGAATTCCCAAGTAACCATAAGGAGTGATACGTTCAATCAAATCCCAGATGAGTATGTCTAAGATAACAGCAAAGCAAGTAGTCATAACTATCATGTACGCTCTTACTGTAACTCGTGATGAAATTCCATTTTTAAAAGGAGGCTTTACACAAATTTAAAACAACGTACACAATGTGACAGGAGTAGCAAAGTGCAAATGGAAAGGTAAAGTTCTCAAGACTATGGTAGAACATCAGAACATGCTAGGAAATCAAAATGGAAGATCATATACCAAATTACCAACCATTTTTATTTTCACCAACCCTCTTTATTTTCAATGTCATCCAGCAACCTATAAGCTAGGTGGGGTGATAGGCATCAAGAGTCACTTCATTTGTGACCAAAAATTACCTACTAAATTTAAAGGGAGGTTTTACCAAACTGTTATAAGATGGTGATGCTAAAGCGTAGTGAATATTGAGAATTCAGTAATGATTGTATATGAAGAAAGGTTGGAGTGGTATCCATCAAAGAAAAAATAGCATATCAATTAAGGTGACTTATACATGTGCAAAATAAGCCACTAGAGGCGCAAATGAAGAAAAGTGGAGCATATGGTCTTTAAATCTCTGAAAAAATGTAGAGACCGAGAAAGACACTCAAAGGAGTTATCCCATAGGACCTAATAATAACTAATATAACTGGAGAGTTAGTTGATATAAAATCATAATTGCATTGTGCGATTCGCGTAAGAAACCTCAAATTGTCATCTGGCCCTGGGTGTCATCATCCGGAACTCTATTATGGTGTACTACTCTCAAAATTCGGTAATAAGATAATATGATAAACCACAAGTGTAAGCAGCTCTACTGTACTAAATAATTTTCATTTTATTTTCTTTTTAACATGCAAATGTCACACCATTATATCTTAGTAATGCTGCGGATGTACAATAATGGCCTGATAATTCACATAATAGCTATGACGAAAAAGAAAATAAGAACTGAATTTTAAATATAAGAAAGTATGCAGATGACACATACCAAGAGAATCATGAAAACGCCATACCTTCTATACCGGAATGAAAGATTCCAAGTCCAAACAAGTAAAGATAATTGTTTATAGGAGTGAGATCATATACATTGAGATAAACCATAGCACGACTCTTTTTCTCATTATTTCGCTCCCTCTCCGACCTCAAACTCGAGTTGGAGCTCGAGCTCAAGGGGAACAACCGCATCGTAAGAAATTTCTTCACCTCCTTCACAATTCTCCAACTATATGCTCAGAATCACAAGCCCATACTCTACGGAAAAGCCCAGCCTGTGCAAAACATTTTACAGAAGTAGGCATATCATTATGAAGCATCGATTTTCAAACATACAGCAAAATCTAAATTCTCCTTTGGTTGGTACCACAGAAATGAAAATAAAAAGAAGGCTGAAATAGCTGCTTAATTGTGAAATTGAAGCAAAGGAAGTGGAAACGAAGTAAGATCAGTTCAGGATGGAAGGCTAAGAAAAAAATTTTCCAAAAATTCTTTGATGGAAACCTGAAAATGAGAATAGTGGGCATATCAAGCAAGATCGAAGAAGAAGCCCAAAATTCAGAGCAGGATCTGGCAGTGCACCATCAACATAAGCAAAAGAATTGAGGAAAGGAGTAGGAAGCTAGGAAGAAGTATAGAACTTCAAAATTGAAGAAGAATTTGGAGCAATCAGCCTTTCGAAGCAAATGCAGAAGGACTTAGACCTTACCCAGAAGCCAGAAGCCAAATCACAAGGATTGTCGATTTTGTACCATTCACCACACCATTTCCAAGCAAGGCAGCTAAATTTTGGGGAGGCAGCCATTATTAGATTTCTTTTTTTCCCCCCCCCAACACATCACAATTCACAAGATTACACAAATTTCATTTTTCTTCGATCATCATGCTCCGCGATTACCCTTTTTTTTTTTAATCTGTATAAGCTGTGATTACTTTATAGACTTTCATGGGAGCTAAGATCACTTTACTGACTTAATTTAGACTTAATTTGAAGTACATGGGTCCGCCACGCGTAAAATAATGAGGTGCACAATTTTTAATAATACCATTTGTTAAAACAAAAATTACTCCCTCCAAATATAAAATATTTTTAAATAAAATCTCACATTTTAATAAATTTTATAATATATAGTCAATAATTTTATTTTTTTAAAATTAAAATATAAATTTTTAAAATATTTTTTATTTAATAACCTAAAATCTATACTTAATTAATATTAAATGAAGAGAGAGGAAATAATATTAAAAAAATAATTTATTTAATAAAATTTTAATTTTTTAAAGTATTTTATATTTTAAAATATAAATTTTTAAAAAATATTTTATAATTTAAAATGGATGGAGTATTATATAAGAAAAGTTTCATTAAAATTCCCTCTAATCCTATAATTTTGAAAAGTAACTTTTTAATCCTAATTTTTAATTAATTTTTATGTTAATCATTGTTGTTTAAAAAATTAAATCTAATATATTAATATTTAAAATTTTTATGTTGATATTTTTTTTTTAATGAAACAACCTCTATTAACATCAGAGATCATAAGAAGAGTCATTAGGTAATAGGTATAGTTTAATCTTAAAAAACTGTAAGAGCAAAAAAATACAAAAATTAGGAATATAGTGCTTTACCCAATTGGTTTTATTATACTCACTTCGTTTAAAAATATAAAGTATTTTTAATTAAGTCTCATCTCCAATAAAATACTTACCTAATTTTAAATTAATCTTATTTTTTTATATTTATTCCTATTAAGCACCCTATAATAAATATAAAATTACTATTAATAGGGACACTTTTAAAAAAAAGACAATGATTACACCTTGAAAAGACTAAAAATACCTTACATTTTTTAATATTCAATTTTTTAAAAAATATCTTAAATTTTTAAACGAGAGAAGTATTCATTTTGAATTTAATGAGTAGTACTATGGCAAGATTGGGAAGGCATAAAAGCCAAGTAAGAAGTACCAACTTGGATTCATTAAATTCCAAAAAAAAAAAATTGAGTACTATGATAAATAACTTTTATTCAAGCAGAAGAGATTTTATTTCCATTAAATATGTTATTCTGTTTGGCCAAAAAAATTTCATGATCTTAAATTCAAGTTTTATGATCATTTGAAGCTTAACTAGATTTGAATTTGGATAGTCTATGGCACTTCAATTGGCTATTATTAAAACAAAACAAAAAAAAAGAGGCACACACACACGCACATTTTCAAGGGTATCTTTGCTCGAAATATTATTCAGCATTATTACAGTTAATTATTTAAACTAAGCATTTGTGTTTAAAAAATTATAAATGTCTTTTTCAATACTTTGACAGTAAAAAGAGCACATTTGAGAGATCTACCAAACATTGATTGCCTTTATTTTTGGGGAAAATAATTGAAATATGTATTAATAAGAAATATAAGACAATACATAAAAAAGAATCAAAAAAAAAGATATGCCTTCAATTTAAAAATATAAAATATTTTTAATATTTTAAAATATAATTATTGCTTTTTTTTAAAAAAAAGTGCTGAATGAATTACTTTATATTTATTTTATAATAAAATATCTTATTAAATATAAATAAATATAAAAATATTTATTAATTTAAAAATAAGTAATGATTTTATTAAGAGTAAGATTTAATTAAAAATACTTTATATTTATAAATTGAGAGTTGTCCTTTAAATGTTGATAACGTTACAGACACGGCAACTTCCTAAATTAAGGACCACCTCAGCACAAGTATTGTGAGTTTAAGAATATAATAATGAACCTGGTCCCCATTCTTAAAATGTACAGAGCCTAATTAAGGGTTTCATATATTATATGAATCATCTAAATTAAATATTTTGAAATTAAAAAAATATTTAAAAAAACCAATGAAACAACATAAACTGTCTAAATTTAATTTAAGCAATCAAAATATGTATTTCATATGAGATGCACATTAGAAAATAATTGGAATGATTGGATTTTGAAAGGGGAATATATAACATCTCACATGGGCTGTCTTGTGTGTGGGAGGAAATAGAAGCAAACCCACTTCCAAATTTCCCTGATTCGAATCTTATAAGTGTGCTAGATAGCTATATTATTTATAATTTAAAAATATTACCACTTGCTATAAACTTTATATTTTATATTAATATTGATAAGTGATATATGGCAAGCTATCTCTTCAGCAATACCATCAATAAAGCCAAGAGGTGCATGTGTGTTTCCTAATGAAGAACACGCCAAAGAAACTTTTAGGTTGTAAATGCAATTACTCACCACCACAATTTTTGTTATAATACTTAATTAGTAACATCATCAATATCAAAATAAAATTTTGATGTTATACTATTTATAAATCCTAAATTTGCCTAATTTATTGGAAAACTTGTTGGTTTAGTCGAGATGATTAGTTCTAATCATCCAGTTAATCAGTGATCCTAAAATATATATAAAGGGTATTGCTTTGTGTTAGACATATGAATGTTTAATCTTACATAAAGAGAAAGGTTAACACAGATACTCACCTTTTGTGTTTCACTTTAAAATATTTTTGCGGTTAGTTATATAATCCTTCAAGTAAAGTATTTTTTTTCTTCGTAATTTTGTATCATATCATAATCATAATAAAATGTTGTTCATTTTCTTTTTGTCTATTTATTCATAAAAAAAAAATAAACAATTAAGGTGTAGTGTCGTGAGGTGTGCTAGAGACACGGGGTCTCAAGAGGATGAAAAAACCTAACTTCTAATCAAACGCAGGAAACTCGAGCTCCCTTATCACAGTTCACTCGGATGTGAGAATGCGAAGTGAAGAACACTAATGAAAATGTAAAAAGCATAGATGCATTAATTAAAGAAATAGGTGGCGGGCTATGCCGACCGTACAATAAAAAGTAAAGACTAAAGCTACATGATAAACAAAAAATAAAGTAACAGATGCAGAGTCTGAGACTGATAGTTTGTTGATGTTGATAATAATCTGATGATCCCATTGTTGAGAGAGAGCTCCTCTATTTATAGATGATTCTGGCTTGTGCTCAAGCCCCATGATTGCCACTTTTCTTGAATTTATAAAACACATCCTCCATCATGTTCACTCATTATGGGTGATAGTTTTGACTTAATAACTAAAACTTCATAAACATTTTTTTATATAATTATTTTAAAGTCAATTAAGTTGAGTTGGGTCAGGGCCTCCATGTTCACAATTTAAGTGCAAACACTATTCAATTTTGATCGTGTTAATAGAATTACAAATAGGTCATCAATTGATTACAGTTAGTCAAACTTAGTCAACAAGACATTTAAGCATTTTTATAACAACCCTAACTGACAACCAACTTTAGTGGAATTTTTATTAAACTTACAAGACTTGCAGCCTGGCTGGAATGACATTATAATGAATTTTGAAAAAAAAATTATTCAAATAGTTAAAGAAGTTCATAATTAATTATTGAATCATAATCACATTTTAAAATAAGTTTTGAGAGGTTACTTATATATTTAATTTTTATTGTTAAATAATATATTTTACTTCTTAAATAAAGTTTAAAAAAATTAATAATATTAAATACAACTTTATCAATAATTTAATTTTAATTTATGATAATTTGTACAGCTAAAATTAATTTCAATATCCAAATAAATTGCGTTATAACATAATCAATTATAATTATAATAAATCATATTAATCAATTATTTTTATAATTAATTATACTTAACTGAAATTCAAACAAACTATTACAATTTAGGGATAATTACACACAATCCCATTCAAGATAATTAATTACTCTCAAGTTCATTGACAACTAATCTTCAAAACTGAGAATAATTAATTATCTTGAATGGGGATCTTAAAGTAATTCTTCTTTTTATTTAAGATCTATACATAATTTTTCCTAATTATATATAAAACTCCATATAATCTATGGAACCCCCCCGCCCTTAGCTCTAGATTGTAAAAATCACTCCGTATGTAGTATAAAGAGAGTTTAAGTAGTCACCAAATATGTTTTCTCTTTGATCCAAAATTAAAATAAGTATATAAGCCCATTAATATATTAATATATAATATAAAATGAACAATGATATTTCTTTCTCAGAAAACGCAAGTCAGCTCAAGAACTCCTCGATACGATGAAGGGCTAATACTTTGAGTTATAAACTATTGGGCCTAATCTGGGCTTCTGATAAACACAGTTTAGGCCCAAAGCATGACATGCCAGGCTCAAGTCTCACTTATTTATGCCAACATTTTCAAACAAAGAAAAGGATTTCAACAAATTCAAACAAAACATGGTCATAGAGAATCAAACGGATTTCAAGTGTAAAGTTCTGGTTTAGCTGATGATAATGATTGAGGAATGATTTAAATTTTATTTACGACTTGTGAATAATGCTAATTAGGTTTATAATGCTAGATTTTATAATCAAGAGAATGAACATTGTCTGTCACATTGGTCCCCATGTGCATCAGTAAATTCCCACTGTGGAAACAAATATTAATTTTTTTATTTTCGGTATAATATAACCCAATTTTAATTTGTAGCTATATGCACTTCAAATAATTTAATTTAAACCGAACTAGGCGTTAAATAGGGGAAAGCTTTTAGACGAAAATGTTTTCTGTATTTTTTTTTTTTGTTGCTAGGAAATAATGGCTTCATTTTTTTTTTAGAATGTCTTATTAATATTGTTGCTTCAATTCA